TTGATCATAAAATCAGGGTAGCCTAGTGGACCGGGCATAGGACTGGTAATCGGAACATTGCAGGTTCGAGCCTCAGCATCGGTAAAATAATAAGTGTTTTTAATTGTTAATAATGGAGGGGATACATTAAAGAACGTGAACTGTAGTGATAAAATTGCATAATTTTTTGTTTTCAGCGAATAATTATTGTTTATTCGCATCATCCAGTTTAAATAAGGTTGACTTGATCAAATCCTGAACTGGTTGTCCTGATCAAATCTTGATTAAAAACGGCGTTACATGGCTGATCAGGATTTGATCCAGTTACCATATCAGATCCTGATCTATCATCAGGGCTGACCTGATCAAATCCTGATCTGGACCTGATCGAAATTTCCACTCGGGTGGATTTCGTCGGACTGCGATTCACTGTCTCTCTGTGAATTTTCCAGGGGTTTCATAGGCTGTGCATGGCACTAGTTCCTAGATCAACCCCCAATCGTTCCGCTTTCCACGTGTATTCAACCTCCCCCTTTCCCCAACCCTCCATAAATTGAACGAGTCAGAAATCCGCCCTCACGAGAATATTTATTCCAGCTACGATTTCCCATTCCATCGGACCACTCTCTGGACCCATCCTCTTCCTCCACCCCCGCACCAGCTGTGACAATCGACTATTCATACCTCTCATATTCCAACAACTGAATTTGATAAAAATGAAAAAAAAAAAAAAAATCACTACATGAGATTTTATGCGATACTTCCCTTGTTTTCGCCCCTTTCGATGCAAATAAATTCATGCAGTCGCGAGGAAAATAAAAATCAAAGAGGTCGAGAGGCCGTCGATATTTGTCCATCCGGCCAATTTTTTTCGGCGGTAATAACCGGTGATTGATTAAATTTGAATTATCGTGAAAAAATCTGTCTCATTATTTTTTTTATTAAATTTGTAGTTGGCCTGTTGGAAGATGATATAACATGAGCTCCATTAAGATCTTTCCAGCGGACGAAGAAAACCTGGAGAATGATAATAGCTCGGGGGTGTCAAGGCGTGAGATGGTGACAAAGACTGTCTTCACCCGTGTCTGCGTATCGATTGAGTGGATAATGAACGTTGAAATGAAGTGTCCACAGTAGAGGGTTGAGGGGAGGATGTTATTCACTCACCAGGGCTCCCTGATGGCGGGATGCCTCAGGGGTGAGGCATTTAAATCCACCGGCAGCTCACCTCTACAAGCCCTTGCCGATAACTCTTGCTTGTCCCAATTTTCTCTCAATTTTCCCCTCGATTTGAACTTCTTCGAATAGATCAATCGACCTGTTGTTATTGCAATCGTTAGATGCCTGGAACAAGCGAAACACAAAAATCGAGCGATTAGTACAATGTTAAAGCAGTTCTCGAGGCACCGCCATTTTTTATTCCAATGCAATTGCAAAATTGGTTAATTACGCCGAAATTTTGGGTAAAAAAAAATTGTAATCGGAATATTTGTTCCAAATTTACAGAAATGAAATGAAAAATTATTGAAATGATCCCTGAATTTTTTAACGGATTTATCTATAATTTACAATTTAGGACAATCCCAATTTTTCAAATTTTTCTGAAAACTTTGGTACCCAACGAGAAAAATACATATTGTTTTATCTCCATGCCGAAAAATACTATATGGAAAAAAAAAGGATCGCTTAAAATATTCATTGTATCCATTTCTATTCACCGATGACAGAGATCCCAATTCTCATATTTGTGTTCCAATCCCTCAAGGCAATACTCGTTGGAGTGCACACCGTCATGCATGTCTGTCTCCCTTGCAACTCCATTTCGAATGGAAATGGAATAGCCGAGTCACATCCACGTGAATATCTCCTGGTTATGTACTAGACCGCTGAAGGATGACAGACGAGGCAACCCCGGGAATTTAGTAACAACTTGGCGAAACAACTCTGTCATCTCGGTGTAACTCGGTTATTTGAATTCTAGTTGCTGTGTTCAATGTAATTGAAGACTCAAGTGGATTACCGGGATATTACGCGTTCAATCTACCGGAAAATTTATCTTGCTGTGGGAATAACTGTGATTGTAAACGTTTTTAACTGAGTTACCATGAATATTTATCATTTAAAATGGTTTTGAATAAGGACAGAAATAATCCGGTCCAATATCTGAGTACAGGGACGCCACCGCAGGGTGGCGCAGGCACCCGCCCCATCTCTCACGATATTTATAATTAATAAATATTACATAAGATATGCAGATGTTGTCCCACTTGTTTCAATTTGAAATTTTAATCAAGTCAAACGATAAAAGAATCCCCTATTCCCTTTATGCGCCATGAAAAAGCCAATAGCCACCGCCTGAAACTTTAATTTAACTCAGAAAAATCTCGGAAATATTATCTCTCTACCCAGCCGATCATAAAGTCACAACTGACAAAGGAAATATTTCAAAAATTTGCGTCGTCAGTCGTATTTGCCCAATGGTTCGTTATCTCTGAAATTAAAAGAAATATTTACGTTGGTACTCTATCCCCCATATTTTTGGGCTGACGTAGTACCACGTCATCCCTCCACAAATCTTCATTCTGGATCCCTCCGTACAAGACGACAGACCATAATTTCTCCCTCGTAAGATGCATCGGAATACATGGCATCGTACATCGACCTCCGTCTCGTGCATGCATTGCCAGAGACATTGATGGTTTTTCGGTGGAGGGGATGAGTAAAGTCGTGGCATCCTATGAAACGCGACGTTTGCATGCAACTTTGGATGCTACATGGTGCTTAAATTGAATGTGACATAGCACCCCAGATGGATTTATCATCGTAGCGTGTGGCATTTTGGTTGTACTCTGGGAGATACATCCAGAAATGTGCACTCAATTTCAGAGGTTGTATTTATTGATTTCAATCATCTGATTTGACATACAATGCTGGCGGGTGTATGCGGATACACAATGATTGACATATCGGTTTCTAGACGAATTCAATTCGGAGTAGGCCTTGTCTTGAGGGTTAAGTTGACCTTCATGGGGGTCAAGCTGCTGTCAAAGACGTATGCATCAAGGTTAATGAAGGTCAATGAAGGTTGAACTCGTGCAAATGAGGAGTTGATGAAGGGCATGAGGGTCATCCACGAAATTTCACACATTTGACACATCTGAAACCTTTGACACGTTTGACCTTCACTTCACCTTTCGTAATGCCAGTCACCCGCTGTTTTGCGCACATGTTTTCAATTTTTCAAATGGAAAAACGAAAGCCGTGACACGTCCCAGGTGTCACAGGCTCGTTTCCAGAAATCTCTGTCAAATGTATGACATTGTACATCGTATGCCAACAAGCCCAGGGAATTTGGATAGCACAAAGGTCCTTGAGATCACGTTGAAGCCTTCCCGAGAGGATTAATAGAGTGTGGATGCATGTCTGGCTCTGCTGTCACATTGACGAAGGGATCCTCCGACCCCGAAGGGACGACATCAACCTACTCAACTCACTCTCCACCCTCTCCTCCCCCACGTCGTGTTGACGGCGTTGGAATTTCGTGCCAGGCAAAACCGCCAATTAATTCGGATGGCACAGGCACCCGTTTAGTCTCATGTGTTCCATTTAATATTGATGCGAACCGATAAGAGAATTTCTTCCCTCCCCAGCCCCTTCTTCACGTTTGTTTCTCTCCATAAATTCAACTCTGTACACAATTAAAAGATCCAACAGAAAAATCCT